AGAGAGAGAGAGAGAGAGAGAAGGGAGGGAGGGAGGGAGGGAGAGAGAGAGAGAGATTGAGATTCTTCACTTGGCTCCCAGGGCATCCCAAAGCCCTAGGAATATTTTCTTCACATCTTATCATTTACCTTATTATTCTTTCCATTTTTGCTAAAAAATCATCTTCTTAGTGGGATGTGCCATATCTTATTGGGAAATGCCATAAAACTGAACCCTTCACCTCTTAACCTAGTTTATTTTTCTCTATAGTATTTGCCATTTTCAAACATACTACATATATATTTTGCCCATTTATTATATTTATAGTGTTTCTTTCAACTAACAGGGTAAACTCCTTGAATCTAGAATATTTTTTCTCATGTTTTTGATACTTCTACTCTCATCTTGAAGGGAGATAAGATGGTCAGTAAATATTTGTTCAAAAAGCAAACAATTTAATAAACTTCATAGATTTAGTAGCTTTCACTCTATTGTTATCAACTAATAAGTTTCACTTTAAAATCCCAAGGTGTTTTCTATCCCACTGTCTCCCAAAGGAATATTAATTTCTATATTTCTATACATGGATCTCAATTTAGCCACTTTTCCAAAAATGTAGAACCACTTAAAAAACCACTGGTGAATACTAGTGATTTCTGAACAAAATTAATGAAATTCTCAGTGCAAGAAGACATTGAATTCTAAGAGATATAATTGTTTTTCTTGCATCATCTTGAAAGCAGCAAAACCCCGTAAATGTTTTCTACTTGACAGTATCTCTTTATTATGAATTAGAAAACAACATGAAAGTTTTGTGCAAACCAGCAAATTTCTTTGAAGGACCTTAATAAAGCAGGTCTTCTTACTTCCAAAATAATCATATCTTCTATAAGTATGCATCACAAAATTATTTTACCAAACCATATTACCCATTGGTTCCAGAATATGTGTTTATACTTTTCAAAAGTGATTTCCTCCAATCAGAAGATTCATGCTCTCTTCACTGTACGTTGAGATTTTGCCATTTCTTTACAACATAACCTTAATATTTTCCTGGATTTCTTTGACCCTACCAATCAGAAGGCTATCTTGCCTCTGTATTTCATCAGCAGGTTTTGGATATCAGTCTCATATCCTTTATTATGTTTCATAATGTAGACAGTTATTTGTCTAACTGTGTTTTTGCATTTTTCTCAGTGATACATTCATAGAGAACAAGGACTGTGATTTCTTTACTTTTTATTCTCCCAGTGACATGCCAAGAAAGAAAGTCAATCACTGAATGAAGCCAAGCAAAACAAAACATTGTGCATATAAGACTCTTATGTACATACTCAGATATGTCACAAATGCACCACCGAAAGTATTATTTGTAACTATGTTTTTAAAATAATGACTGAAACAAAACTACTCATTTAAAATGAGGGTGCTTTGGCTACCTGACAATAATATTTAAATGTCATGAGTCATGGTCTCAGAGTAACCATAGTAACAATATACACAGAGAAAGCATCTTGTACAATAATTAAGGAAAGGTTTAGAAAGTCTAATAGCCTTGAGATAAAATGAATTAGAATTAACAAATGTGTTTATGAAGATGTATTTTGCAATGTTTTCTTATTTCAAGGTTAATGGAGAAATTGGAAATCTACTTTAAATTTCTATTGTTAGGAAGTAATAATATGACATAAACCTTACAGCAGTATTTTTTCAATGTTTTATAAGAATATAAGGATTTTCTTTCTTTTAGTGAAATATCTTTCTATCTGATTTCTAAACTTTTATTCCATACTTTTCATGCTGAATTGGAATAGTAATTAGCACTTAGCCCAAGTGAATAAATTATTTTAATGAAATTGATTTGAAAATAAGCTATTGAGCATCCAATTCTTATAGCAGAGGATTTCCTGAGAAAAATGCCTTTTCATTCCCTAGGTTAATTGCATACAAGCCTAATTCTCTCTTGCTTAGACGATTTAAGAAGTTCCCATTCAGTTTATGTAAACTGTGGAGAAGGTCTATCTCAAGGGCATGAGAAGAAAGGGGGCAGGGTAGGGGAGCAAAAAGTCTACTTTGTTCCTGCTCAGAAGTGTAGGAACTAAACTAAACCCACCTCAGGATCAAGAAAAGTAGTATAATACTCCTTCTGCCCATCACAGACGCCTGCTTTCTCCCTGCACAAAATGCATGGCTCCATGGGCCAGGAAGACAAAAACATTAATGGTAATTTATAATGAGAAGTGTCCTGCTTATTGACTTGCTTCCCTACTGGTTGTACACTGTGTTATTCATGTCAAGGTTGTTAATCATGTCAAAGTTGTCAATCATGGGATGTTTTTCCTCCATTTGGCAACATTATGTTGGTCTCTCCAATTGTCTGCACATTGACATATTATCTTTTTAGGTGATTTGTTAGGGGCAATTAAATAAAGGAGTATTTGCTAAGTTTCATTTTCTTTAACAGACAAAAAAGTCCTTTTTCCCTCCTAAAGATCGTTCATCTTTTGAGAGTCATGGACTTTTTGCATATAGAAATGACAGTTTCCATCAAATGTCAGAAGATTCATGAATTTTCCATAACATCCTTGGACCACAGACACAAGGTTAAAAACAAATTTCATACATTCACATAAGGAAACTATGTTTTAAGACTGAACAAGGTAGATCCACGGATGCAGGTGAGCACTTCAGACAATATTCATCTCCAAAGACAGAGTGGAGCACAGCTGTCCATTTCCACATTTGAAGAGGAAAGAAGTATTGAGTCAACCAAGAAGTTTTCCAGTGACTGTCTGTACATGAGTTATACTTTAATACTTGTAGCCAGGGTTGACTTGGATCTTTAATTTGGGGAACTTGGAGAGAATGAATGACCCAGCTTTGATGGAGACATTGCATATCAGTGATTCTGGAGAGGGCTGGCTCAGCATCCTAGCCCTTCTCACTAGTAAAATGGTTGGAGTGGGTAATTGTGTAATTTTGAGAAGTCCATATGAAGGACATTTTATCCATCCAACAAATATTTACTGAACCCTAGTATGTGTCAGGCCCTGCCCTATGATCTGGGAAGACTGCCTCATCCAAAGAAAAGTTCACTCTCCAGGAAAGGACAAAGTCTGTTTAATGTTTTCCCACGGACTTTAAAGGAAAGTTATGTTTGAAGTACTGAGTGAAGGCTACTTTGTCTAGAAATCCTCACGGGTTATTTTGGGACAAGAGGAGCTGGAAACTCACCTGTAGTTCTCTGTGTTTTCAGAATATGGGACTACAGAGTTCATGCTGTAACATTCTCCCATCTCTAGTTAGGCCCGCTGGGATTTCCTGTCCTTTGGACAGACCTTAATTTTCCTTAGTCGTTAGAGTTTTAGAATCCTTGATACTACTTGGCTGTCCCTTGTTGCTAGGCAACCACAATGGTAGGAATAGTTAACTTCCCAAAGAAAAAGAGAGAAAAAAAAAAGCTCAGTTGCAAAGCCACAATAACCCCTCAAAGCATCTCCAAATCAGATCCAGGCATGAGACTGGATGAAGAATTATCACATCATCATCATTTTTGGAAAACCCATTCAAAGTGGAACGGGGGAAGTAAGTTTGTGCTCAAACCAGGGTATGTTTATATCTAGAATCAATGCTGAAAAAACATTCATCCCACTGATATCTGAAATGGGTGCATGAACAGACCTACAGGCAAGGAATAGATCCCTCACTGTTATAATCTGCTTTCCCTGAGGCCCATAGGCCCCAGACAGAAGACCCATAGGTCCCAGACAGAAGACCCATAGGCCCCTGGGACATGTTCTAATTCAAGCTTTGTTCCCAACACAGGATGGCAGAGGAGACATACTGTAGTGATTACTGGTGTTCTGCTCACTGTCACCATTTGTCTGTAGCCAGTACAGCATGCCTGTTGGTTTTCTGAAGTTATCAGCCTCTTTCTCCCAGCCACTTACTATATCTCTCCCTAGGGGCATTTGTGGACCGGGTTGAGGTATACCTACTCCATTTCCTGCTCTGGAATGAAATATAGGTAAGAACTCCGCAGTTCATAGATCAAAACCAAAATCCTTCTGGGTTTTGACCCCTAGGTCCTGAACTCATGCAGCCCACTCACATAACCCATAATGAAATAAATTAGATTGGTGTAACACCAGTTTTTCTAACCACAGAATGTTTCTAGGATTGGAGCATGTAGATAAAATAATTTCAATAGTAGAAATAAGGAACAGTTGGAACTTATCAATTAAAAAGTAAAATTATTATTTACTTCTCCAATATTAATTCAAGATACCCAGCTCTTTGGTAAAACAACCCTATGAATAAAGTACTGTGAGCAGTTGGTGTTCTTGGAGAAAAAGCCAAAACTGCCTAAATAAGTGTATACAAACAGATTAGTTGTTTGTATAACTAATGGCCTTGTAGTTGGCCATTAAGGCTAGTTAGCAGCCTACAAAGTATCAGAAAATCATCTCATTTCCCTATGTTTTAGTTTTCTTCCTTTTAAATAAGAACCACTTGAATGATATCTGTTTTCTCCTCCAGATATACCATTCCATTCTGCTTCCTTATCTCATTTTACTGCAAACCTAGAGAGTGGATACTTCACTGGATTTTAGAGGAATGTACAGATATTCACTGTGTAGTTGGTTTATAATATTTTATGAAAATGAAGTCATCTCAAAAATGGCTGGTGAAAGGCACTGTGGGCACTAATTATTCATAATGGCTATTAATCTTATCATACATCTCACTGATCAAAAAGATAGGGAGAGAGATATGACTGGTATAAAAATAGACTTTTAAAAAGTCCCTGAAAAACAAATTGACTTTCCCATTTTCACTGCTTAAAGGAATGCTACATGGGAAGAATTTCAGATGGAGAGAGTTAAGAAATTTTCAGGTTTACTGAAGATAAATTAGTCTACAAAATTCTAGACTGAAAAAGCTAACTAACAAATTAATGGTATTGCTCTTTTATGATTAAATGAAGTACAATTATTTAAAGAATGAAAATCATTCAAATAATCTTAAAGTTGAACTGAATTTTAGAAAACTACATCTTTCTAAGTCTAAAGGAAAAAAGGAACATTATAACAAAACTTCTAGAAATATGCTATATAAATCATTGACACTGCCACAGTTAATATTTTTTAAACTGAAAAAGCATTCTTGGCTTAGAGTGGTGCTTATAAACTATTACATACAATTAAAAATCTTGCTTTATGGCTTATCATATATGTATTTTTTTATAGAATCACACATATGCATATAACCAGGAGGTTTAGAAAGTATGCACATTTTATGTTTTCTTGTTAATACTTATCAGGATGTTGTATCAAACTCAGATAAATACATATTAATAGGATCATAAAGGAGGGTAGGAGATAAAAGTATAGCAATGAGGAAAGAGCATGATAGAAAAGATTGATAATGAGGTAGTACAGTTGAGGTGGGGAGAGAAAGCCACGGTAGATGCATTTGGAGTCTGTTTGGTTGAGTTCTCCACTCATCTTTTATTCGTTTATTTTTTATTTCATTCTTCAAATGTTTCCTGAAAGCCCATTGTGTGCCAGACATGGTGTGAGACAGGAGCAAACTTGACACTGTGACAGCCCTCGTGGAGCTGATCATTCTATCAGGGTTATTGTTCTAGTAGGCACAACTGTCCTATTAGGAGAAAATGAAACAGGTCTTGGATTTCAAAAACACTCCTCTAATTTAGGAGGTCAAAAGTACTTAAAAAACAACTAAATCCAAGCTAACGGAAGCATCTCCCAGGTGTTACTCCTGAGGAGGTATGCTCTTGCGGCCCCCATTCAAACAGCTGAGCTGCAGAAGTTCACTTTGTTCTCATTGTGGTGAATACGAGGTATCTGTATCTGTGTCTGAGATCCTGGGTAAGTGTGCCTGTGGCAGTGGAATAGAACAGGAGAGGAGAAATATGATAGAGAAGCCAAAATAACTGAGAAAACAAGTACACAGATCCAGCCATGCACTACAACCAAAATATCTTCTAGCTGATTGCAAAAGCTTTCCTTTTGTTTTGCCTAAGAATTAGCTCATTTGTCCTTGATTTTTTGTCTTCTTCCCTGTGTTTTTGATTGCTTGACACAGTGGGTCTAATTATCTCCAGGCTTCCAGCTTTTTTTAATGGAGATAGATGTTTATCTATGTGAGCAAAGAGATTTTACCCCTTTGGTCATAAAGTCTTCCCTTGGGAAACAGAGATGAGACTGAAATTTTTTAATTAATGAGTAGGAATGTAAACTTTTCATGTATAGCTTATTTAGGACAGGAAAGAGACATTCCTTCTTCTGTCTTACTGTTCCTTACTTCAGGGAGCATTTGTCCCTGGCAGGATTTAACTTTCTTGTGAGAAATCTCTCTCTCCCTTCATATTTACCTATGGATAGACAGTAAATTCAGATACCAAGCTCCCACCTGTATGACTGAGTTGGGGACAGTCCCTATCCAACAAAGGATTATAAGATATTTGAACTTGTCTATTCAGCAACTGGATCCAGGGACCTTGAATCTCAAGCATTTGCAACTTTAGGTGTCCCTTTGCTTATTTAGTTATCTCACAAATATTTACTAGGGTCCTGCTACATAGCAGGAATTTTTCTGGATGCTTGTGTTACATTGGAAAAGCAAGAAAAAGCTACTGATCTCATGAAGTTCATGTTTTGGTAGAGACAATCAAACATATAGGGAGTATTGTTCAGGATACAGACAAGTGCTGTAAAGAAAATAAAACAGCATAAAGAGACTAGGAACAGGAGGTGACATAGAGCTAAGGTGTGAATGACAAAAAGAACCACTCGCAGGAAAGGGTTCTGGGCAGGGATTTAATCCCAACATCATAAAAACATGCCATTAAAAGACAGACAAATCTCACATCTTCCTGCATTTCCCTGCACAGAAAAATTCTTGAATCTATAGCTTCTTTTTCCTATTTTCTCTTCAATCTTTTCCCATGAAATACAGAGTCCCCTGAAATAGTCATTATTGGGGTCCTCACTAGCTGTTTTGTCTACAGTGCATTCTAACCCAATTCTTCCTGGAGTGGTTTCTCCACATTCCTAACCTTAAGTTAGTCTTCTGCTGATTCTAAGAGGCTCGATATGTTTCCAGTTAATTCCCCACCTTTTCTTTTCTTAGCCAGAATTTTTTTTGATTGCTTTCAACCCATAGGGTCTACTTTGTACACTTCCATTTTCCATAGCATTGTTGATGTTTACCTAGAAAAGAGTTGTTCAAGTTCAGGCTAATTCTCATTTATCCTTTTGCTTACATTCACTGTTTTCTTAAAATGTGACTATTATATTGGTGAATACCTTTTTATGTTTCCCCTGTGACTGATTTTTCTTTTACATATTTCATTTCCCAAGAGTGGGTCACTCATACAATTGAGAACATCTATTATTATCTTTATGCCTATCACAATGCAAGATTCTAGAGATAGATGTGATTCCAAACAGTCATGATTTACGAGATTATTTGTTAGACTATATACTTGCTGTGAAATTTCTCTTTCAGGTTATTTCTACAGTTAATATAAATATTATTTATGTCTCTTGTAATGCTCTGCTAATCAAAGTTCTGTAGAAACTATGACCATTATTCCCTAATTATTTATCTAATAAATATTGTAGCAATCCATTAGCTAGAAAATTAAATATAATTTCTCCAAATATTGTATTTTCATTTCTTCAATAACTTTCATATACTCTTAATAGAGAATTTAGGGTCAAACAAGTAAAAATGAACTAGATAAAAACAGGGACCTATAAGAAGCAATTTCTCAGAAAAGTCATCTTCTCTGCTAGGATTTTTTCATTCTCATAGTAAAGTGAGTGATCTTTGATGGACGTTGTACTGTGAAAGACACTTTCACTTACAAATAACAGAAAAGCCAGCCTGTAGTAATTAACACATAAGAGAATTTACTGACTCATGTGGATAGAAGGTTCAGAGGTTAAAAATGCTTCAAGGTTAATCAGCAGTGCTACTGGTAGACGATATCTTTCCATCTTGCCATTCTTCCATAAACAATGGTATCTACTTCTGAAGGCTGCTTTTCTCATAGGCATAGAATGGCTGCCAGCACTAACCAGGTCTACTGTACAAGTGACTTTGTTCTTAGCCCAAGGGAGAGAAAGAGGATTGACTTCCTGACCGTAGAATAAAAGTCCTGTGTTCTTCTCATTAGACAATCCTAAGTAGCTAGATCACTACCAAAAAGGAAGTGTTGATTGTTGTGAATCTGAAATATCTGCCTGCCTCAAATCAATGTAGCAGTGGGAAAAGAACCATCAAATTCTACCCTTAGGGCTCAGTGGAATCAATTCCTCCCCAATTCTATGGCTACTAAATAGTGTGGAAGAAGGAAGTATATCTGGAAGGTTCTAAGGCCATCAAATGCAAGTAAATATTTTCATATAATTCATATATATTTATTATTTTATTAAGTCATAATTAATAATTATATCATACTAATATAGGATATTGCCATATATATTATTTTCATATATTTCCATATTATTTAAACTGGAAAACCATTTAATAAGATTTACTATTACAACCATTGCAGTGATTTTTATCTCTGTATTTCTATTCTTTCTTAATGAGGTATTATATACCAGTGAGGAAAAAAGTTAGTAAGAGAGAGGAGAACACTTAAAATTTTTATCTGAAGAAAAATTTGAGAATGCATTTTAGATAAAACTATAAAATTAAAAAAAACAGTGGGCCCAGGCACACAGGCCACATCCAGAGGCCCTCCCAGATATCGTTAG